TTAAAAAAAGCAAAAAATATTAAAACTTTATATAAAAAAAAATATATAAAAAGAATATATAAAATATATAAACAAAATATATAAAAAAAATATATAAAATGTATAAAAAAATATATAAAAAAAATATATAAAATATATAAAAAAAATATATAAAATATATAAAAAAAAATATATAAAATATATAAAAAAAATATATAAAATATATAAAAAAAATATATAAAAATATATAAAAAATAATATAAAATATATAAAAAATATATAAATATATAAAAAAATATATAAAAAAAATATATAAAATATATAATAAAATATATAAAATATATAAAAAAAAATATAAAAATTATATAAAAATATATAAAATATATAAAAATATATAATAAAAAATATATAATAAAAAATATATAAAAATAAATATATATTAAAAAATATATAATAAAAAATATATAAAAATAAATATATATTAAAAAATATATTTTTTAATAAAATAAATATTTTTTAAAAAAATATATAAAAATAAATATATATTAAAAAATATATTTAAAAAGTATTTATTTTAATAAAAACTATTTGGAAAAATACATAAAAATATATTTTTTAATAAAAAATATTTGAAAAATTACATAAAAAATATACTTTGAAATATATTATATTAATGAAATATATTTGAAAAAATACATCAAAAAAGATTAAGAAATATATTTAAAAAAAGCAAAAAATATTAAAACTTTATATAAAAAATATATAAAGAATATATAAAATATATAAACAAAATATATAAAAAATATATTAAAATGTATAAAAATATAAAATATATAAAAAAAATATATAAATATATAAAAAAAATATATAATATTAAAAATATATATAAATATAAAAAAATATATAAAATATATAAAAAAATATATAAAATATATAAAAATATATAAAATATATAAAAATATATAAAATAAATAAAAAAATATATAAATATATAAAAAAATATATAAAATATATAAAAAAATATATAAAATATATAAAAAAAATATATAAAATATATAAAAAAATATATATAAAATATATTAAAATTTTTTTTTAAATATGAACATACATATGTACATATACTATAAAATATATAAAATTATGCATATCAAAAATTTTTAAAAATACAAAAAACGAATTAAACCCATATAAAAAAGTTTAATGCAATAAATAATTAAAAGGCTTAAAAAAATATTTAAGAAACTAAAAAACATTAAAATGTTAAACAGAAATTAAAAACAAACCAAAACTATAAATTAAAATTATTTTTCGGGAAATGTTAAACTATAATTAACAAAAATTTTAAAACTATATTTAAAAAAAAATTACGACAATAAAAAAATTAATCAAATGCATTTAATAAAAAATAAATAATAACTGATTTATTATTGGCGCACCCAAATAAATTTGATTAAACAAAAACTAATTTTTTTTTTGGTAGACATAAAGTAGATATACATAAATAGCAATGACTGCTATTCGCCAAACATTTTTTGTTTCCATATTTCTAAATTTATGCTTTTTTCTGTGAATATATGTACATACATATCTGTATGTATGTATAATTAAGTGCCGCTAAGAGTTGGGGTAAAACGTAGATAGACAAAGAAATAATATGTTCTTACTACCTCAACCGTTAAAAATATAATTTGTGGTACTTTTTTTATGAATTAGAGGTTACTTATAGAAATTATTATCCTTTAAGGTTTTATTTTGTAAATTATTACTTTTTTTATAAGTTATGTTTATAGAAATAAATTACATAAATAATTTTAAATTAATTAATAAATAACAATAAAAGTAATCAAAGAACATTATTTCAAGTTAATTAATAAATAAAAAATAATAATTCAAATTGTTGAATAAATAATAAATAAATTATTTAAATTATTGAATAAATAATATTAATAAAAATTACCAAATAAACTGCAATACAAACTCAATTTGCCAATAACTACGCGATTTCAGCTTTCCACTTCATAAATAAATAAATGCAACACAAAGAAATTAAATTTTTTTAAAATAAAATTTATATTTATTATTTGAACACATATCTTTCATCAATTTCCAATTTAGGAAAAATTTCAAAAAAATACCCTCACACATCCACTTGTTCAATAAATTGTAAAATGGCGTCTACTAAATTACTAATGTAAGAAGTGTGTTAAAATAGATAATTTTTTTTCTCTCTCATAAAACGATATTTTGTTTTGTTCATTTTACAAATCAAAAAGAAAAACATTTACAATTTATTTAACACAAAAGAAAATATAGAAGTTTCACAGAAGAAAATATCATTAATTCGAATATATTAGCCTAGTATGTTATATGCGCTGTTGCTGCTGCTGCTATTGTTGTTGTTGCTGCATGCATATTTACCGCTCCTGGCTGCTGCCAACAGCGCAACACTACACTCCTTCTCATTTGCATTTGTTCGCATTCAACTTTTAGTTTTATATGTATTTGCTGTTGTTATTATTGCTATTGTATGCGTTCACATAAAGGTGTTGCAAGTGTGTTTTTTGCTCGCCGTTTGCGTGTTTGTGTTTTTTATTGTTGCTTTACACATTGCTACAACAACTGTTTCTTAAGCGGTCACTCTTCCTTCTTCTGGTTCAAGTTTCAATTAAATTTTCCCATTGCTAATTGTGGATGGAAATATTCAGTTATGTCTTTTATAATTCTCTAACTTTGCTGGTCGCATACAATATTTCAATTTTCATTAAGATTTTCTCTAATTCGAATGTTGTGCATCTGCTTTTTTTTGCATTTCTTTCGCCTTCCACTCCGTATATCATCAGTTAAGTGTTTTGCTTTTGTGTGTGTGTGTATGTATGTTTGTTGCTGTTGTGTACGCAATTTGAAATATTTATTTTTTTTATTCATCGATTTTCTTTTTTCTTGTTACTTAGACTAACAAATATATATGTGTGTATATATATATATAATTTGCTGTTGTTGCTTGCTGATATTACTAATACAAATACGCATAAAATGTTAAATTTTCCATGATTCCATTTGAGATTTGTTTTTATTATATTTTTCTTCAAGTTCTGCTATATTTTCTACTATTTTCTGCATTTTACTGAATCTGCGAAGTTTTTCCCTTACAACAATTGTCTGTTCGGGTGTGGGTTGTGTTGTTGGTGTATTGTGCACATAATAGTAGTAGAGTGCATTTGTTGTTGTGGTTGATGATGTTGCTGCTTTTGTCAAGTCCGTGAATCGCTAAATTTCTGCAGTGTAAAATTTTGTAGTAGATCTTTGGTCAGCGGCGCATGCGGGAATGGCAGGAGTGAGTGCATGAATGGCATTAGGACAATTCAAAAATATTCTAAATACGCTGGTTAGCATAGAGTGCGTTATTTTAGGCGTTGACTGTGCGCCGCAATCCCAAATATACGCAATTTTGTGAGAAATCGAGCGCTGAGAATACATTCCAATTAGATTCCACATCTATGATTAACGCATTTTTGTCAATTGAACTTTTTTTAATTAGGTTCAACATAACATAACGTTATAAATGTTATATGAGCAGCTTATTATGTACGCAGTCTGAAATAAGTAAACTGAAGCTAACTCTTTACGCTCATCTTCATCAAAATAATGCTGGTTATCAACCAAAATATTTCATTTCACACTTTACATCTGCCAGGCGTATAGTTTCTGCTCGCACAATTCAAGAAATCACAGCTAATAGCTATCGTTATGCACTGCAACGCAGTGTGGAACGTATTTTGTCATTATCATTTCACTAGCACTGTGCTTGTTTTCGAATGCATTTCCGCCTGCCGCTTTGCTCACTTGCTGATTCATCATACTATTACTTTGAAATATTGTGACTGCTAATTTCTCCAGTTGTTGTTGTTATTTTTCTACTTTACGCCTTTTTTTCTTGAAATTTAGGATTAATTTTTTCTACAATTTCTTTTGTTGTTGCTTTCCAAGTATGTGTATATGTGTGTTATTGTGGTATTTTGTTGTTGCTGTTGCTGTGATTGGTTTTATTGTTGTAGTTGTTGTTAAATTTTTTTAACCGCTCTTAAATAATAAAATTGCCACCTGGCCTAAGTAAAAGTAGATAAAGTGACGTGTCTCATGTGTCACATACGATCCGAAATTTCGGCCCACAATACAATGCCATGTGGGATTGTATTTTTTGTCGAATTCTTTCTTAATGTAGGCGGCAATGTCCTGCAATGAGAGAAAAAATATTTTTTGATTAGTTGGGTGTATATTTGTAAAAAAATATATTACTATTGTATTGTCAAAATAAATATGGAAAAATATAAAAAGAAAAAACATATAACAACATAAAAAACATAAAACAAAATATAAAAAAAATTATAAAAAAAAAAATAATAAAAAAAATTAAACAAAATATAAAACAGAACGAAACAAAATATAAAACTACAAAAAAAAAACATAAAATAATATATAAAAAATTAGAAAAAAAATACTACAAAATATATTAAATCAAATTTTTATAATCACCCTTTATTAGGAAATGATACGAAATGTAGATATGAAAAACAAAATGAAAAAATATTTATACAAAAATTGTATGGAAAATTTAATAAATAGAGAAATAAGCAAGCTTTACCTAGCAAATTTTTTAACAATAATAAAAAAAATTGCATTAATTCTAGAAAACATGGAAACATTGAAAAAAAAATGTTTAAAAGAAATAAAAACATATATAAAAAATTAAAAAAAAAGATATTAAAATATATATTAAAAGAATTAAAATATAAATTAAAAATAATATGAAAAAATATAACAATATATTAAATACAAACTGCAGAACAACCTTTTGATAAAAATAAATACGAAATTTTCATTAATTTCTTTGGAATATAAGAAAATATAAAAAAATAAAATATAAAATCAAATAAAATTTATAAAAAAATAAAATTAAAAAAAAATTAAAAAAATATAATTTAAAAAAATATTTTAAAAAAAATTTAAGACTAAATTATAAAAACTGTATTAAATACAACCGTCATAATCACCCTTTTTTATAAAATTATACGAAATAATTCGAAATTTTCATTAATTCTTATTGCCATTCTTCATTTCATACTAACTCATATATTTTTAATAACGATTTTTCATTTTTAATACTAAACCAAAAGCAATAAAAATGAACGCCGCTATATGGCAAGCCATACAACAAAGCATTGCCCTTCACGGCACTTAAATCGCAGCTATAGCGTCATTTCTACGCCATTTAAGCAGAAAATTGCATTTTCCGGCAATTTCAATGTGAATGCGGAAAACTAAAATTGAAAAAGAAAATAAAAAACGTTGCAAGGAAAGCCTGTAGCCGCGTAGTGCGCAACAACAATTAAAACAAAAGCACAATATGGGGAGAAAATCAGGCCCACTGACCTAGCGGCGTACGAATGAGTGACCGATACCCCAAGTTTATAAAAATAAATGTTCCTCGAAAAAAAATGCAATAGCAAATACAATATAAAAAATACAAACTTGTGCTCACGAGCTGGAAATTTCATAGAACATTAGCGTAAATAAATTTAAAAAAACTGCACAGAATTTGCAATGTTCAACGCTTACTCACACGCACGCACACACACAGAGGTCATTGTCAGTTCAGTTTTGTGCAATCACGTAAACGTATTATAAGTGCATACTGTATGTATGTATGTACATATTTGATGCAACGGCCGGCTTGTATTATAATTGCTTAGCATGAGTGACGCGAGACACAAATAGCAATGGCTTATAGGTAGGCGCTTAAACTTATTATTTAATGCGTTTAAAAATAGATTACGCTCATGTTAAAAGCCTGCATCTACATGCGGCTTTAGCTACATACATTTTCTATAGATACAGGCATTATTTATAAGCGGGATTATTTTTTAAAATGATGTAAGCAAAAAGTTTCATTTTAGCTACGTTTATTTACATTAGAAATTTTCGTAAATTTCCGAAATCGATAGTGGAATGAACTAAAATATTTATATCTAATATTGATATATTGGTAATGGTGAATAGCCTTTTCTAAATATAAACCAATTAAATTTATATACAAGTACACGAATTGTAAATAATTTAGCGTATACATTTTACGTTCCAAAAATTTAGACATTTTTAAATCGAAAAATTTTAGACACACAACTATAGATATTTATCTTAAACTCAAAATAGTATGAACACCTTATTAGTTAACGTTTTCAACTGCAGACGTTTGCTTAATGTTTGCGGTTAAAGAAATTCATGTTTATGCTTGCATGAAGAACACGTGTTTAAACTAATCACATTTTTGCAAAATGCAAATATAAAGAAACAAGTGAAAATACAAATCTTTCGCATATAAATTTCAAATAATTTAAGTTTTATCGTGCAATAGTGGTTTAATTTACATACATATGTACATGTAAATGTAAATGAGTGTGTCTACTCCATTTTTACATGTTATCACTGCTATTAATCATGAAGTGGGAAATTTGCGTGCCAAATGTTCTAGAAACCATTCCAATAGTAAGTTACAGGCAAAAATATTTACTTTAATGTACATGTGTATGTGCGTATGTTAGCATACAAAGGGAAACAATAGTCGGTAACTTCAGCCGCTGACCTAGATATCATTAAACAAATAGTAAATACGAGTACATACATATGTATGTGTATAACCAGGCAGCTGGTAAAAAAAACTAAGAAAATATGTGATTTTTTGCCAAATCATGCAGCAGTAAATAAAGTGAGCCAGAATTATGGAAAAATTATAGTGATTTTGAAATAAAATAAATCATAAATGCTTGTTGAACCAAAAAATATGATTTATTAACAAAAAACTAAAAAAAAATATATAAATAAATAAAATAATATAATACCTACATATACATGTGTATAGGAAATAAATCAATAACCAAAATGAAATATAGCTTTTAAATAATGAATTAAAAGTTTGGCTCAAAATAATTTTTGAAAAAAATTAAAACAAAAAAATGAAAATTTAAATTTAAAAAATTTAAATATAAACAACTTAAATATATACAATAAAACTAAGGACAAAGCAAAAAATTATAAAAAATAAAAATAAAGTAATAAATAAAAATTAAATAATACAAAAAAATAAATCATAAAGAAAAAATAAATAAAATTAAAAAATAAATAAAATTAAATATTAAATAATATTAAAAATTAAATAATAAATAAAAGTAAACAATAAATACATAAAGAATTAATAATTAAAAAAAAAATATTAAAAAAAAAAAATTATAAAACAAAAAATTATTATTAAAAAAAATATATAATAATTAAAAAATAAATAATAATTAAAGAAATAATATCTTCAAAAATAATAATATAATTTAAAAAATATAATAATATTATTAAAAAAAAAAATTATATAATAAAAAAAAATAATATAATTTAAAAAAAATAATAACATAATTTAAAAAAAAAATAATAATATAATTTAAAAAAATAATATTAATTAAATAATTTTAAAAAAATCGGTGTAATACAAAAAATAAACATTTTTAAAGTGAATAAATGCATTTTGGTGGGATCTCATGTTCTATTGTAATACAATAATACAACTTTTTAATGACGCATATAAATTCAGGCCAAGTTGGCAGGTTTGGTAATGCAGATAAATAAATAAACTTGTTAAACTCAACAATTATCGATTAACAATGCATTGTAGCAGACAAGTCTAAGCCATAAGGGTGGCAAAAGTAAACTAAAACTACGTAAACAAATATTAACTTAAGCTAGTGCGAGTAAATAATAAGCGACATTGTAAGAAAGGAGAGCAAAGAAAAAAAAATAGGTCGATTGACAACAATAACAAAGTGTATGATATGTTTAACCGGAAATGTAACAATAGCAAAAGCGCCTACAGCCTAAAGGAAAAAAACTGTGTCAACTGAAATTTCCCTTTTCAATAAAAAAAAAAAAAACAACTTTCTGCAAAAAAAATTTACAATGGTAGCAGAACAGATATTCAAGAAATAAGTTTCGATACACTCATTGTATAATACAATCAAGCAAGAGGCTTGATTATTTTTGCCATATAGCTATCGCTTCTACTATTTAACCATATACACCCCACACCCCAGCTTTTTTCGATATTGATTAAACAATGTAGCGTTGCGCAAAACAACGAAGTTAAAAATAAGAAGAAAACGCCAGCATGACAACTGTAAGAAAACACGCATGGTTTTTGTAAGGAAAAAAGCAACCGGCAACAGTGGCTTTGCAACTGTCAATGAGTGTCACGCGTGTTTATGCATAAGCCCAAAAAAAGAGAGTAAATTGTTTTGAAAAAAGTTAGGAGATTTCACAGTACGATTTTACTAACATATACATATATATTTGTGGGTGCATACACGTATCGGATATATGAACCCCGTGTTTACTGTGTTACTATGTAGGCTCAAGAACATTCACATGGATGTATGGAGGCTCGACAAATAAAACCGGAAATGCGCGCGGGCAGCCCGTTGGCACGTACTCGGCGAACCGGTGGTAGTCTGCTTAAGTTGGGTGGCGGCATGCGAGTGCGTTCGTGCATAAAATGCAGGATCGCGTGCTACATAAACACTGTTTGCTTCGCCGTATACATATGTAAGTAGTATGTATGTATGTACATATAAAAGTATTTACTGGCCTTAGTCTTTCCGCTCGGCTCAAATTACATGAGCTGTTAGCTTTTCTAGTTCGAATGGCAATGATATAAAATGGGGGCCTTGAAGTATGTTGCAAAAAAATGTTGTCAATCATACACTGTCACAATTCGATTTGCAAAAATATTTATATGTATTCTGAAAGCGTTAGGAGGAAATAAAAAAAATTCTAAGATAAAGCAAATAATATAATTAAAAACATAATAATAATAATAATAATCAAAAAAATTTAGTAAAAAATTAGTAAAGAAATATTAATTTAAACAAATAAAAGTAATTTAAAAATAAATATTAATTTAAACAAATAAAAGTAATTTAAAAAATAAATATTAATAAAAATAACAAAAAATAATAATAATTATAAAAATAACAAAAAATTATAATAAAAAGAAATAAAAAAAAATTAAACAAAATATAAAAAGCAAATAAAATAATGTAAAAATATAATGATAATAAAAAAATTTTTTAAAAATAATGTAAAAACATAATCAAAAAAAATTATAAAAAATAAATAAAAATATAAAAAACAAATAAAAT